GAAAAAATTGAAAAAAATGAACAAATCCAAAAAAATAAAAATAAAAAACAGCAATCAAAAGGATGATTAACATATTTAATATAAAAATTAAATAAAACTAAATGAAAAAAAAATGAAATTAAAAAAACAAATACGAAGGATGATTTTGAAATGAATAGTGAAGTTAGAAAATCAATTAAATGCGTAATTAAAGGAGAAAGTTTAAATTGAGAGTAAAAAAAGCCTAAAAATGAAGAATTAAAGAACTAAGGACTGAAATGAAAGCGATGAAAAAAATAAAAGATATTATGGCAAAATTGATAGCAATTAAGAGATAAAAGGTGAAAATTAGTGGGAAATAAATGGACCAAGTATTGAACTGTAAAAGGCACTGGAATGAGATTATAAAATTTGAAGTTCAGGTGAAAACCTAATTTCAATTAAGAAAAAAAAAACGACATTATTTTCTATTAAATGAAATGGTGCATTTTGTTTAAATTGAGGAATAACACAATTTGAACATTCAAGGAAAACGACACCGTTTTATTCCTTACGCTGGAAATTTCCTGGGCAGCAGAAACAACTGACTCTCGTGTCATCTTCAAGTTTAATTTTGATACAAATTGATTTTATTGACCACTCAAAAGCACAAGAAACATGGGCTTCAGCATGCAAACTGCAATTATGACTTAAAATATCATGATTTAATTCTTCAAATCCACTTCAGATCTCGAGCCAAAGACACTCAATCCACATCTTTTCCATATCATAAACCTAATTTTTCATTCCTTGTACAAGATCCAGCTTTCAACCTTGATTCTCTCCCCCCAAATCCAAGAAAAATACAGTAATTATTGGCCTTAAATGAAAGAATATTACCTTCCTTTGTGCCTAATCTTTCAACCTTTCAGAAAGCAGTGACAAAGGGTTAGGTAAAATTCACTCTCCCATATCTATAACATATACCATATATAGTTATTGGCCTCAAATAATAGAACATTTCACGTTTTAAGAATTTGATTTTTTTTTTGTCAAAGCATAAAAATTAGAATTTTTATTTCATGTTAGCTTTTGAATAAAAATGTTATTGTTTATTTTTTTTAAAATACTTATACATGTATATTTGGATTTAATAACAAGTTTATTATATCAATTAAAATTTAAATAAAATTAAAAAGCCTATTGAACTGACATATATAAGTTTTAAAAGCTCAATTATCATCATCAGTACAGGTCCAAAATTCAATTATCATAATCAAAATGGGTCAATATCTATTTTTGACAATTTTGACATAACTTCCTTTTTAAACGATATATGTCATTTTCGACACCTTTTTATAGGACCAATGTCAAATTTGTTTTTTAAAAATAACTAAATTTTTGGAACGTCCTTTTTCTATTACGCATAACTAATCCTTTATCTGAATTTTTGGAACTAGTGAACATTTTAGGATTCTTAGTTTCCTAATTTTCTATGATATATATATCTACCTCTGCCACGACATCCACCGAGGTGCGACAATAAGAATTAATGGATCTTGAAAAAACATTATGTATCATGTATTTATTAGTTTAGTAAATAAACTAGTAGTGGACTCGTTATATGTTGGAAGCTTGATTTGTTTTCTTATGACTTAGGTCATAAAACTGACTAGATCAAATAAGTTAATTTTATTTTAATTTAGTGATAAAAAATAGACAACAATAACAGATGGACAAATTAAATAATAACGCACACAATAACCTAGAAAAAAAAATATTTTCCAAACAAGAATAAACGATGTAGCTCAATTCTCAATACATTAAATATGAAAGGATGAAGTTCAATAAAAAAAGCACCTAAAAAAATTAGGCTGAGTCAACCTGAGTTAGCATGAAAAATCTATAAACCTTTTAATTAGGGTTGAGCCGACTCAAGTTATCTTATCAAAATCATGGTCCAGGTCATAAGAAGGGGATAACTTGATATAAAAGAAAACAAAAAAAAATTAAAAAGTATTTTTTATCTTAAAATAAAATTAATGTCAACTCGTGTTAACTTTTGAAACGCATGACCTAGATCATTGGATTGAAAGTGCCCTGCTTGGAAAGTTATGAAACTTAATTCATAATAAATTAAATTTTAAAGAATGAAATTGAAAAAAAAAAAAGAATTTCAATTATACAAAAGGATTACAAACAAAGCATAACAATCGAAAGAATAGGATTATAATTGAAATATGAAATACAAATAATTTTTTGACTGAATGTAGAGATTGAAAAGAAAATAAATTTAACTAAAGGCTCAAAAAGAAAAAAAATCAAAAGAATAAGGACCATATTGAAAAAAAAACATATCACAAATTGGGATTGAAAGATGAAGTTAAAAAAAAAATCAAATTTTTACAATAGTGCCAAAAATAAAAATTATAAATCAAGTGAAGAAGGACCAAAATGAAAATCCTTTTAAATCAGAGGACAATGGCCAACATGAATTTTAAAGAAATGAGAGAGAAAAGAGGGGAAAAAAAAATGTTGACGACGAAAAACCATGTCACCATCGACTACATGCACTGCTAAAAAAGGAGGAAACAAAGACATTTCCAATAACATGTAGTAGGGGTATTTGGCTATTGGAAGGCAGCATAAGCATTGCTTGAAAGGCGCGAACACCTCTCACTAGATAACACGGGCCAACCATGTTTTGTTTTTTTTTTTCTTTTTTTTAAATATTTATAAAATTATCAAAGTGTGCCATTGTTGACCTGAAAATAATGAAAAAAAAAAAAACATGGTCAAAATATGATATATTCCTTTAAGGCCAATTTTAATTTTTTAACTTCTAATGGTATTTTGATCATTTTATTGTGCTTTTTTTTTATTTAATTTTTTTATATTTGTAAAAAATACTAAATTACATTTAAGCTAATCTGATAATAATAAAAAATATTGTGAAAATATAAAAAAACCTTGGAAACTAATCTTAAAATATTTCCTTTTAAAGGCATTTTGGATGTTTCACTATGCTTTTCACTATCAGAAAATTGATAAATACAAAAAAAAATACAGAGGAAATTACAGTGAAAAAAATAATTAAAACAAAGCAAAAAAAGATGATGTGTCATTTATACCAACAGAATTACCGATAAAATTTATTCCATCAGTAAAATCATTGGTAAATTGTGAATATTGCTTATCATGTGAATTACAAAGAAAATTACTAGCGAAAAATTTTATTGGTATTCCAACTGCACTATTAATTCATGTTCTTCACAGATAAAATCACCGACGGATTGAAAAGTCGTTGGTGTTATTTGATGGTTTTTTTTTAAATTTTTGATTAAATTAAAAATTTAAATTAAATATTACAGATGGAATCACAAGCGGATTGAAAAGTTATTAGTGATATTTGATAGTTTCTGAAAATTTTTATTGAATTGAAAATTTAAATTAAATATTACAGACAGAATCACCAACATTATAATTAAAGATATTAATATTTAATTATTCATTGGTAAAACCGTTAATAAAACGCTCAATAAAAAGTTTAGAATCCCTAATTTAATAAGAGATAGGGCTCCTTTGTTCTTCTTCGTTTTCTTCTTCAATCTTTCTCAAGTGTAAAAAACATCAATATCTATTTCTTTCTCTTCTCTCTTCTCCTGAACCTTTTCTGTTCTCCTTCATGTTCAAGTAAGTCTTCTCCTGAACTTTTTCTGTTCTCCTTCATGTTCAAGTAAGAATTCTTCTCTGTTCTTCTTTTTTCTTCTCATTTTTTTTAATTAATATACTTTACAAATTTGTTTTTTTCTTCTTCTCTTCTTAGCTTCACTTACAACCACATTAAGGTAATATTGTTTTTCACTATATATATATATATATATATATATATTTATTTTTAATTGTTTTTGTGCTTAATAATTGTATGAATATTGTTGTAGAATATGTTTTTTATATGAGATCAATTTTTAGTTGCTTTATTTATAGGGTTTTTAAATTTTTAGCATTCGCAACTTCATTTTTTTTCATATAAATGTTTTTAGTTGAATTTATTTTTTCATGTTATTTATTTTTTGTAAATTTATTTAAGTTGATTTTGTTCTTTTTTCGAAGCGTTTTGAATATTACAGAGTGTTGATTTTATATTAATTTAATTATTTTATAGTTTTGTAATATATATATATATATATATTAATATGTTTAAATAATTATCGATATATAAAATTACATTCGATATTTTTCCAATGAAAATATCAATACAATGAAGCGGATAATTTTTTTTGAGTGCCTTTTCTGTCAATAAATCCATTAGTAATAATATTTTTTTTATCAACAGATTTATCGATAAACATAAAATTACAAACAAAAGATTTATCAATAGAGGATTTTTATAATTGATTTCATTGATAAATTAATTATCAATTGAATGATAGTGTAAATATCAACAGAAAATTCCATCAATAAATATAAAGATTATGATAGTATTTGAAATGAAAAAAAAAATATTTGTCATCAATCAATTTAGTAATGATTAATACACCTCGTTAATTGACATCATTACCTCCAATAACTAGTTTAATATTTTTAGGAGTGAAGGGAAATGATGTCATCATATTATTCCAGTGAACAATGAACAATGCAGATGAGTGTGTGTGTATAATGTTTTCCCAAGACTGGTTAAGTTTCGTTTTCGAGTTAATTAGTTAATCAAATCTACTTAATAGTTTCTCTTGTTACATTGGTCATGTGATTCTTCTTAGTCATATAAAAGTATTTTAAATTTTTTCATTTCCGGAAGTTCACCCCAAATTTAGATACTGCGGAAGTTCACCCAAAATCTGGTAAATATATGGATATTATGATAGATATAGAAAAATATGGGTTTTAATTACAGAAAAAAAATAAAAAATCAGCAACACCTATGCCACCTTTCTTTTGCCTTGCATTTTTTATTATTGAATGCACGTTATGAATCCTCATTCTAACCCTATATAAATCCCTTTCCAACGCGGTGTGTTCACACTTTCTTGATCAAGAACATAAGGACTTCTAGTGTCTAGAACCTTGCTTATGATGGCTAAGATTTCTTTCACCCTTTTCTTCATCCTTGCCCTTATTTTCTCAGGTGTGTTCAGTCATCCTTTATAATTGTATATATTTTCTAGGAAATTCTAGGGTAAACCATATTTTTTCTCTTATGGATTTGTCAATACTACCAATATAATTTAAGATTCCACAGTTATATCTTATTGCCCTTATAAAGTTTTTCTTTCTTTCCGGGACATATAGAGAACTAATTGAAATTAAAAATAGTGTTTTTTTTTTGCTTATAAATGAAAGAACTTTTACGAATCAAACCAGCTCAAACAGGACAAACTGTCCAGAAAGAGAAAGGAACAAAAAAGATTGGGTGAGGGGTTTGTTTGCAGATCTCTTTTGATAAACGCAAATCGGCTCATATTTCATAACCCTAGGATTTACTTTTCCAAATAACTTCAGAGTAGTATTCCTGCCAATAGAGAATTAATGTAATCATTCGTGGGGCTGATGTATTTCTTGCAGTTACAACAATGGCGCCTCCTGTGAGTGCAACAGTGGTGACTGGAAAGGAGACAGAACAGAGAAGATGTGAAGAGATTCTGTATAGAAAAGGTTGCACACTCCTTGAATGCGGCAAGAAGTGCTACGAGAAGTACATGAACAAGGGGGGAAATGGGAAATGCATTTCCAATGCTGAGATGACTCGATATGCTTGCTATTGCTTCTGGAACTGCTAACTGTTAATCTAACAAGTTCTACGTTTTCACTGAAACGAATAATGTACTCATGATAGGTAGCCCTAAAGCACCAAACCTGTGTTGTCAACTGAATTGCTTCCTACGTGTGTTTCCTTTTTCTTGAAAATGCTTCTTTAAAATCTTATTATTTCTAGAGATTAAATCTCAATATATTTATTATCTAAGATATGCATCAAATAATTATATATAAACATGGCCGTAAAAAGTATAACATATATATATATGTGTGTGTGTGTGTACAAGTCCCGTCTAAATATCCCTTTCCATCATGAGCGGCCAAAAATTACAAGTCCCGTCAAAATCTCCCTTTCCATCATGAGCGGCCAAAAATTAATATAAGGGACTGTTTGTTTGTGAGAGGAACTGCCATATTGTAGGCAGCTCTTGTGCAGAGACATTATTTGTTCTACAGTATTCAAATAATGTTGGAGAGATTGAGCATTAACTTTGCAATATCCAGATTGGAGAGATGGACGACCAGAAATGACTTAATTTCCTATGCTGTGCATGCAAGACGACGAGGACGAGGACGAGGACGATAATAATAATAATAATAATAATAATAACAATGCTGAACATAACTCATGATAAAATAATGTTTAGGTAGCGTTTTGTACATGGTCAAAAATTAAGAGTAAATTATCTCGAGAGCAGTTATTAAGGGTGTAAATATTAGTTCTTAAGATTAAAGGGTTAAATCTCAGTGAAGAAAAATTATTAATAATAGTTATTGAGAGAGATATTAAATAATTTGATGTGTTTTGAGAAAAAAAAGAGGAGAGAGACCAATAATAACAATAAATGCTAAAATAAAATTACATCAAACGTATTTCAATTTTCTAAGGATAAAATTTAACCATTATTAACCGGCCCCCTAACAAACACCCTTTCAATTTAAATGTTGGTTAATTAGCTCGTGCATATCATCACCATATTTACAAATTTTTTCTTAAAATGTGACCTTACTATTAAGACCTTTTTTATTTATTTAGATCCCCTCTGCTTTGAGTTTTTATATTTAGAGTGTATTTATTTTTGAAGTGAAGTGAGGTGTGTTTAGGTTTTTTTAATTAAACTTGTAAAAAAAACAACAAGAAACATATATTTTAAACTTTTAGTTAGGTGTAATTTATGTTTTAAAAAGAGTATCTAAAAAAACTTAAACTCATCTCACCATGCCTGAAAAAACAAATACATCCTTAATTAAACCTTTTTATCCAATCTACAAGGTTAAGTGTTGAGATGGTTAATTTATGGGCAGCACTAGTTAGTAAATGTATATTAAAACTATAGATATTAAACCTCAACCGATACATGACTCGGCCCAAAAACAAGATATGAGTTGGATAAGTTATTTTAGGTAAATCCAAATCAATCTAAAAAAAATATTATTTCAAGATTTTTAATTTAAAAATAATAAATTAGATTGTGGGTTAATTAGATGAATTAACTAGGTTTGACCAGCTACATCCTTTTAATTGAACACAAAACTCAGGCCATGTCTTGAGTAAATATGATCATTTGATTGACTTGCCAGATCCTGTTCAGTTTTACAATAATGATTAAGGCTATATATATATATATGTTCTTCACAATTTCTATAACAAAGAGGGAAAAACATAATAAAAAAGTAACTATACATGCACAAATATGCGATATGTATTTATAATGTTTAACTAAAATTTATATGCAAGATTAATTTACTATTTTAATTCAAGTGTTATGTATTTATAATGCTGAACATTAACAAATAAGTTGTTTACCATCTCATTCATGATCAGTTAACAATAACATAATGAATTCATATAAAAATAATTGGACAAGTTATGACGTGTTTAAATTTATTATTATTTGATTGGTTGTTAATCTGGCCTATAAAATAGTTAGATATTTATTTAGAGTTAACAATAACATAATGGATTCATATAAAAATAACTGGACAAGTTATGACATGTTTAAATTTATCATTATTTAATTGGTTGTTAATCCGGCCTATAAAATAGTTAGATATTTATTTATTATTTATATAATTTTAGCCCAATGGGTTAGTTAACTCATGGTTTAGGCCAGTTAAAAATATATGTAATACAACAAATAAAAAAATAGAAACAACATAATAAAAGACATGCATATTTATCCACTAATTTCATCACGCAATAATCTACATTCAATAATAGGAATTGATAATGGATTTTTTAATCATGGGTTGAGTCCTCGAATATATATATATATATATATATATATATATATAAAAGTCATTATAATTTTATAGCATCTAGAATTCCTACCTAAACATTTATCAGTTTGGTTAATAGCATCACAACTAAACATTTACGAAGGTACTATATGTGAAATCGAGTTGAACCCCTCCAATTGCATTCTCAAGGCTTGTTATGCAGAGTGCTTGGAAAAATTCAATAGCCATGGGCAATGGGCACACATGGAGCCTAAGCTTCATAGTGTTCGCTTCTATTATTGCCCTTGATGTATCTTGTTTCTTCTTTAATTTGGTTACATTTTATGAGAGAGAGGGGGACAGAGGGGGAGACATGATTAAAAGAGACAAATCACATGACAGCCACGACTTGATTTAACCCAAGTCATTCTGCAGACTGTCTTCCGAACCAATTATTGTTGATTTGTGTAAGAAAACACCTAGAGACGGCAGTGAATGATAGGAAGAGCAAAATCAAAAAACATTTCGCTGATTTTGTACCAAAATACTGCATCCCTTTACATATGAGTGAAGACTTATCTTATGCCACCATGATGATGCCCTAGATCTAAATGTGTATTATGTACGTGCCTGAATACAAACTCCGGCGTTGTGACACAGCAGTATGGGAATGTATTACGTTGGAGGTTGCTTGCAATAATATGTGCAAGAACAGTTGGTATTCCTACACTCTCCTACCCCTAGAGGTTCCTGGGAACACTCCTGGTTACATTTCTGCAAGTCACATCTGTTCATGCTTAGCAGCTTGTGGCACGTGTGCTCTGGAATCCTCGCCGCATTGGCCCCATGGATTGCCCTGGCATGGCTAAACTCAGCTGCCAATATGAAAAGAAAAAAAATTGAGTGGAGCAAAGAAGCATGAATGCCATACCTCCCAAATGCCATAGGTCCAGCAGCTTATGGCATGTTAACATGATTTGTTGATTTTAACATCTATTTCTGCTTTTATTGGTAATCTGCCAAACTCACACACAAGGTAATGGTAGAACATACGTGAAATGATTAATTATTTGCTGGGTGATAAGAGAATAACCTGAGACTAGCAGGAGCAGAAGAGAGAAGAGTGCATAGGATATCCTCATCTTTCAGCATCAGCTTCAGCTTGATCTTGTAGACTCAGCTTCTTCTGGGTTGGAAGAGAGGGGGGTCCTCAAGATGTCTTGATTGTATGGTAAGATTCTTTCAACATGAATAAAGGGTTCAAATCATTTCAAATCACTAGCTAGTGAATATTTTCTTCGGGAGAATAATGTCTTAGATCCCCAGGTCACTTCTGTAGTGCTCGTGACAGGCTTGCTGTAAAGCACATATTCTTTTCCTTGACGAGACTGTCTTTTTTTATCTTTTTCAGAGAGAGAGAGAGAGAGAGAGAGGGAGCTTCTTAAGATGACAACAAATAACAACAGGGGCAAGCATGCCACGGATACTGAGATGTGCAACAAATAACAACAGAGGCAAGCATGCCACGGATACTGAGATGTGTCAAAAGAACTACAATTAACTCGCAGACTGCTGCTTATTATGTAACAATTTTATGCATTCCTAATTTCTAATTCGCAGATTTTCTTTGACATGGATAATTTTTTTGCAAATGAATTTCGATTTACTGGCACAAACTACTACTGGAATTTTGCCAGCTTAAAAACGACAAAAGGGGACTGCCATGCCTCTCCTCTATCCAGTTTTGCGTGATACATTAAAAATAGTTGCCACCAAGTCCCAACGCCCGGTGAAGGCCAAAACAAAAGAAAACAAAGCAAGAGCAAATGTATGGCCGAAAAACTAGCTGTGAACATTAATCATACATTAACGCATAAGGAGCTTTAGAAACAAAAATCCTTGACCCGTCAGTTTAATATTAGGAATGCAGTGCAATCCACTTTTCATTAAAAAAAATAATTTTTATAATATATTTTCAGTTATTTTGATATACTAATATAAAAAATAACTTTTTAAAAATAAAAAATTATTTTTTAAATACATTTCTAAAATAAAAAACAAGTAAATGTCGACAGTATGCCAAGAACTTGCCTATCAGCTGTCGACAGTAAAATAACAAGTTGATGTCGCGAAGGCTAAGAAAAAAGTGGGTGGTTTACCATTCAGTACTTGAATTATCAGGAATATTTTGAAAAGGCAACCGATGCTTCTTCAACACAGGCCACCCTAACGAGCAGGAAAATGAAACGCAAAAGTGCAGGGAAAACATTTAATTCGAAAACTACTTTAAATGAATTCCAAGTTCCCACAAGTATATTATAATCTTGCTGATCTCTAACAGTGAAATGTAAACTGAAACTGAAAATACCAATGACTCGCCCCAGTCCACAAAAATTGGAGACACAAACCAAACTGCACGACAAAAAGTTGAGAGGGGGCCTAGTAACCGCCCTTGAGATCATTAACAACATCATATGGAATGGGTGTAACAGTTTCCAATGTCGCACCTTCCACCATGAAACCAGGTTTCGGACCTTGTGGCTGCCTCTTTGTGCTGATAACCTCACCTCTGGCCTTAGCCTCTGCCTTCAGTTGATCATTCTTCTTCTTCCTGAGAAGAAATTCCTCAGTGCACCTTGAAGGCAGCAAATGCTCCACTCTTACATGGATCCTCTTCCTAATGATTCTGTTACCCACCTGTAAAAATGAAAGGGATTAACATGGAAGCCTTCCGTTGCTCAAATTATAGTAAACAGTAAAAAGCATCAATCACTAAAACAACACAAGCAACCATCTCAGAAACAAACAGGCAGGTCAATCCATTATGGTGATATGCGAAGCACAAAATATGAGGCTACGCTGAGCAATGGTGTGTAACAATGTCAGATGGAAATTCAGTAAAAACCTACTAAACAAAGATATAATCTTCACGCCGGTTTTCCATGAATACTTAAATAAGGCCGTCTACAGTTCAAGTTAAAAAGAGAACACCCATGTCATGCAACCAATGATACAGGGGCTCATTTGAATATTCAGCAGAAACAAATCAAAAGAAAACATTAGATAAAAAAAGGACCACGACGAACGGAAGGACCAACGACAACGAAGGAGGTGTGAGCTCGGTTTGGACCCATCTTTGATCCACCTTCATGGACAGGGAAGCGAAAGAGCATAGTCCACGTATGGTGGGCGTGGCAGGTTGGTTACCTCAATCCCATACAAAATGGCTAAATTAAACAGTTCAAAAGCTAAGCACAAGCAAAGATGTCTATGCAGTAATTAAACCAAACAAGTAAAACCAACCCAGCTAGTTACTTCAGCTTCAAAATTACTGGTTATGAAAATAAGCTCAAATCTTCAAACAAAGCAAAAAAGAAACCTTATAAGACAACCTCAAATTCATCAATAACAAAAACAAAATCACAAATAGATACCCTCACAGCATCTTTTATATATAAGAAACCCATGTCAACCACGAAGCAAACTGTCTACACATATCGAAGCTATAAGTAAAAGCCTATCATTTTCACACAAACAAATCACCAAATACATAAAGTGCACTAGAAAACTCTTACCAAAAACCCTAAGATACAGTCAAGGATATAAGGAGATTAATATACCTGCTTGTTGATCTCGACGCCGATGGCGCGTTTGGTGACATTCCAGACACGTCCAGTACGTCCATGGTAGAACTTGTGAGGCATACCCTTGTGGACAGCGCCGTTAACCTTGATGTCTACATTGTCTCCAATCTTGTAGGTTCTGAGGTAGGTTGTCAATGGAATGTAACCCTTCTTTCTGAAGGGACGAGCAAAGAGATCTCTTGTGCGAGACCGGAGACCGTGACCAGCCGGCATTTTGTGCTTGTGTTTGTGTTTGTGTTTGTGAGAGCGGGGGCTGGCGGAGGTAGAGTGCAAGGAAGGAACTAAAACCCTAGATAGCAATTTATAGGTGGTTTGGACTCCGGTTTGTGTTTGTTGTGGGTATTGGGTTTTTTGGGCCTGTATTTGGTTCGAGGTTTGTGATTGAGTTGGGTCTGATAATGCAGAAATGTGAGTGTTTCTCTTTGGACATGTGCGTGCTGAGTTTGATGGGATAAAGTGGCTTATAGCTCGGTATCAATGGTTATAGCAATTTCAATTTAAAGAATTTTTTCAATTAAATAGAATTTTGATGGGTTCAAAAAGTTAATAGGTTGATCAACTAAATCAAATGATTTAAGCTTAATTTTAATTTAATTTTTCTAAAATCCAGTCTAGATTAGGAATCGAGTTAATAAAATATTAGGTTTAAACCTCTAGACTTTTTGATAAGCAAATATAACTTAAGTAAATATGTTTTTTTTTTTAAATCAAAACTTCATATTAAAAAAAAAAGAATATTCTATTTTCTTATTAAGAAAAACCCATCTAAGGTGGAAACTTATGATCATGAAAACCGATATATACAATTATTAATGGCATCTTATGTCTTAATTGTCGAGAACCGAGCTTGAAATATGCGCTTACCATACAAGACAAGGTATGAAAATGGAAAATTCGTTTCACTACAGCTTATAGACCAACTAAAAGAGAATTCAGATATGATCCAATTAAGTGGTGCGCGCAAGCTGGCCTGGACACCCATGTTAATAAAAAAAAAAAAAGAGAATTCAGATGTTGTTTTTTTTTCTTTGAAAAAAAAAACTATAGGAGGTTTGATTTGGAGAATTCAGATGTTGTTTTTTTTCCTTTGAAAAAAAAAAACTATAGGAGGTTTGATTTGATATGATCCAATTAATTTTATAAGTTTTAAAACAAACTTTAAAAACATATTTTGACTCATTTTTTTCCAAAATAACATTTATTTTTAATATTAAAATAACAATATAATTAATTGACAAGAGTTAACCGGGTTAGCATGTTAAAATCATAACCTGGATTATGAAACTATAATAACTCTATAAAAAATAAATCAAAATAAATTATAGAACCTTATTTACAATCAACCCAATATTAAAAGATGAAATAAAATAAAATCAACTAAAAAAAGTGACTCAAGTTAACCTGTCAAACTTGTAACTTAGGTCATAAGACCAAGATAACCCCATAGAAAAAAATTGAAATAAATTATAAAGTCTAATTCTAATCAGCATAATATTAAATAATAAGATTGAAAAAAATCAATTAAAAAACAAACATAAAAAATAAATCAGGTTAATTCATCAAATTCATGACCTGAATCTTTAAACTAAGATAACCTCATAGAAAAAAAAAACAACAAAAACTTGATTTAACTCGGATTAACCTACCAAATTCACGATTCTGATTATGAAACTTAAATAAATAGAGAGAAAATTAAAAAAATATTAAAACTCAATCCTCAATCATCCTATCAAATCTATTATTAAACAATGAAATTAACAAAAATAATTAAAAACATGACAAAAAAATGAGTCAAGTTAACCTGGTTAATCCACTAAGCATTATATTTGAGTTATGATGCAAAAATAACCTAACAAAAAACAAACAAAAAAAAATCATGAAGAATAATTCTCAATCAAACATAATATTAAATAATAAAATTGAGAAAAAAAAAGTCAATTGGTTTAATCTGTCAAACTTGTGATTTGAGTTATGAGATAGGGACAATCCAATAAAAAATAAATCCAATATTGAAGGATCAATAACCCAGGTTATAAGACTGAGATAACCTCTTTGAAAGAAAATAAAAAAATAACTAAATTTAACTGGGGTTAAAATATCAAAACCTACAACCTTGATCACAAGATCAATATATTCCAATATAAAAAAAATTATGAAATTCAATTCTCAATCAATTCAATGTTGAATTATAAAATTAGAAAAAAAATTTAATAAAAAAAATATAAAAAACAACTTAACTCAACTTAGGTCAACTTGTCAAACACTATTCTTGGGTATTGAAGCCAAAATAACCTAAATTCAATATTAAGAGATAAATTAAAAAAATAATTAAGAAAAACAAAAAATCTTTACCAATTAGGTTAACTCGTCAAACTTATGATTTATGTCATGAGAGTGAAATAATCTAATAAAAAATTAATATTGAAGGATAAAATTATATAAAAAATTGATTGAAAAAAAATAAAAATAAAAATAAGAATAGAAAATAAATAATGCTATGTAATGAGAGAAACACATCGATAACCCTCCTTCAATTTTTTGGTTAATTAGAAAATTAAGCCAAATCAAAATTTATTAGAACAACTGCCAGTAACTATGGGGATGTTTAAGATTATGGTACAAGGTGATTTTCTATATATATATATATATATATATATGATATCATTATGGTAAAACCATAAAAAACACATAAAAATATTAAAATGTTTTCAAATAAAAATACTTTTAAAAAGCATCTAAAAATAAAAATAAAAATTGTATTAAACACCTTGGAACAACTTTGTGCCCAATTTTTTTTTCCTAAACGAGTTTATTAACATTAACATTAACAATTAATAAAAATAATAATTTAATATATTATGGACTACAATGCATTCCAATTTCTTTTAGTTGATAAAATTGTTTTATTAAAGAATTAATTCAACTTAAAAACTTAATAATTTATATGAGGTTTGAAGATATAATTTATAATATATCTCACAATGTCAAGTAAAAGTCTTTTGGGTTTGAAATTTACACAAACTCATATTACCTTATATTTATTTTTTATCAAATAAATAAAGTTTGCGGAATTCAAACTTGTGATCGTTTGATCATTAAGACTCTGATATCAT